TGGAGGTTCCTTGAAAAATTAAAAATAGAACTACCCTATGATCCAGTAATTCCACTATTGGGTCTTTACCCCAAAGAATACAAAAACACTAATTTCAAAAGATACATGCACTCCTATGTTTATGGCAGCATTTACAATAGCCAAATTCTGGAAAAAGCCCAAAAGCCCATTGAATGATGAACGGATAAAGAAGAGGTGTTATATACATACAGTGGAATGTTACTCAGCCATAAAAAAAGAATGAAATCTTGCCATTCGCAACAACATGGATGAATCTAGTGGGTATAATAGTAAGTGAAATAAGTCAGTCAGAGAAAGACAAATAACCATATGATTTTACTCATATATGGAATTTAAGACACAAACAAGCAAAGGAGAAAAAAGAGAGAGAAAAGCAAACCAAGAAACAGACCATAAAGAACAAACTGAGGGTTGATGGAGACCGGTGACGGGGAGATGGGCTAGATGAGTGATGTATGTAGGTGTTGAATCACTAAATTTTACACCTGAAATTAAATTACAGTGGAATATTACAGTGTATGTTAAATATTACACTGTATGTTAACTATACATATGTATTTATATGTGTATGTATATATCTCTCTATGTATGTATATGTGTATCTCTCTTTATATATGTATTTATATATTTATATTTATATATATTTATATATATATATAAAGAAGATGTGGTGTATATATGTGTATACGTATGTGTATATATATATATATGTATATGTGTATCTCTCTCTCTCTCTATATATATATATGAATGGATAAAGAAGATGCATACATACATATACATATGTACACACCACATCTTCTTTATCCATTCATCAACTAACTGGAATCTAAATAAAAAATTTTTTAAAATCTGTTGAATTTCTCTATATTAATGGTGAAAAAAATCCAAAAATAAAATTAAGAAACAATCCCATTTACATAGCATCAAAGGAATGATTTCTGCAGTCTCCTATAAAAAGAGATCTATTATCACTTAATCCTAAATTTAATAATTTTCTCTAACTCTTCTCTGTCTCTTGAGAAAGTGAAAAAAAAAAAGCCATAAACAGGGTTTCTGTTTCTTCTTATTAGTTTATTGAGGAACTTCACCAAACATCTATAATTGAAACAGTCTAGGTCTTTGAAACTTAATGATTACCATAAAGAAATATACCAGAGACTATTTATTTACTTATTTATTTTCCCAGAGACAACTTTAAAATATGTGGTAGAATAAAGGGAAAAGAGAGGGTTTGAGATGAGAACACAGAGAAACAGTAGCTTACTTTCTGTTACTGCTATTGACACAAATTCCCAAAATGAGGCAGTGATCAATGGTGGGAGAAGTAAGATATAAAACTGTCATGCCAAAATGCAGGGATTATCTCCTTGTTTGTCATTGAGAAGCTTCTTTTTTTTTTTATTGATATTTTTTAAAAATTTATTTTTGAGGGAGAGAGAGACAAGGTGTGAGCAGGGAGGGGCAGAGAGAGAGAGACACAGAATCTGAAGCAGGGCTCCAGTCTCTCAACTGTCAGCACAGAGCCCGACATGGGACTCGAACCCATGAACCGTGTGATCATGACCTAAGCCAAAGTCGGATGCTTAACTGACTGAGCCATCCAGGTGCCCATCACTGGGAAGCTTCTGTATGATTCCAATACAGCAGAAAAATGTTGCTGACCTCCATTTGCATAAAAACTCCTTTTGCACAAAAACTTTCAGAATGACAAGGAAAGTATTTCCTAAAAACCTGTAACTGTGCTTAAATTCAGTAGGTGAAAACTCAATAGACCAGATTCGTATACAATTCTTGGAGAGAGATAACATACAGAATAATATGAAATAAGTATATCAACCCTCCAAATGCATATTTAAAACCATATATAATACTATTGAGACATATGAGTTGTAGCTCCAAGAATACTTCAAATTTAGCACAGGAAGAAATCCAAGGGCAATTGGCAGGGTAATAACATTCATGTCCTAAAGTCGGATTCACAAATAGAAATTCCAGGAAGCCCAAAAGACTTTAACAGGAAAATTATTGCAGGGCCAAAAAGCACAAAGTGTCTGAAGAAAATAAATATTATGAGAGAGAGACAATAAACACAGCAAACGAAACATCTTATAACTAAGGAAACATTTTTAGAAAATGTACAAGGTGTATAAAATAACTGAAAGTGAGATATTCAAGGAGACATTAAAGGATATTTCATTAATTTAAAAAACCCCATAGGAGCACCTGGGTGGCTCAGTGGGTGTAGTGAAACAGTTTTGCCTCTTGATTTTCATGGTGGTTACACAACTATAGGCTTTTGTAAACACTTGCAGAAGTACAGCCTAAAAGGGAGAGAATTTTACTGTATTATACCTTAGTACAAGACATTTAAAAAATTTTTTTTAATGTTTACCTATTTTTGAGAGAGAGAGAGAGACGGAGCATGAGCCGGGGAGAGGCAGAGAGAGAGGGAAACACAGAATCCAAAGTAGGCTGTAGGCTCTGAGCTGTCAGCATAGAGCTCAATGCGGGGCTCAAATTCACAAACTGTAAGATCGTGACCTGAGCCAAAGTTGGATGCTTAACCGACTGAGCCACTCAGGTGCCCCCAAGATATTTTTTAAATGGTAAAACAATAAAGTTTTCAGTAGAAAACAACATTTTCATGACATTGGAGTAAGTTGTTACTTAAATAGGACACACACATCACTAACTTGAAAGGAAATAAACAGAGGTTTCAACAATATTAATACGAAAAACTTCTGTTAATTAAATGATGCTATTAAGAGGATGGAAAGGCATCCCTCAGAGTGAGAGAAGATATTTACAATTCACATATCTACCAAGGACTCATATCCAGAACACATAAAGGACTCCTAAGTTCAAGAAGAAAAAGACATACAACTTATTAAAGAAAAATGGGCAAAAGACTTGCACAAGTACTTCACAAAACACAATATTCAAATAGCCAATGAGCATTGCTCAGTTTCATTAATCATGGAGGAAATGCAAATTAAATCTATATGGAATACAGCTACATAGCAGAATAGCTCAAATGAAAAACACCTGGGGCGCCTGGGTAGCTCAGTCAGTTAAGCGTGTGACTTCAGCTGGGATCATGATCTCAAGGTTCGTGAGTTCGAGCCCCGCATCAGGCTCTGCACTGACAGGAGTCGGCTTAGGATTCTTTCTCTCCCTCCCTCTCTCTCTCTCTCTCTCTCTCTCTCTCTCTGTCCCTCCTCTGTTCATGCTCTCTGTCTCAAAATAAATTAAAAAATTATCACACACAAAAAAACTAAAATGAAAACCAACTGACAATGCAAAGTGTTGGTGAATATGCAGAGGAAATCTCTCCTGCTTGGGAGGTGTAACGAATATATCAAAATACATGTACGGAATAGTTATAAAGGCACCATTTGTAAAAGCCCCAACTTTAAAATCACCAGCATTAAAATGAATAAATTAAAAACATAAATAAATAAAAATAAATAAAAATAAAATGAATACATAAAATATGGTATATTCACACAGTGGAACTATAGCAAAGAGAAGGAAAGAACCACAACTACACTCAACAATATTATAAATGGATCTCACAAACAATATATAAAACAAACAAAAAATTCCAGGCACAAAAGATTACATAATTTATGATTCATTGATATACATTTCCAGAGCAAACAAATTATATTGTTAGACGTTCAGATATTGTTTACACAATGGAGAATGGTAACTAAATGAGCGTACAAATGGGGCTTTGGGGATGTTGGTATGTTCTTTTCTCCATCTAAATGACAATCACTTGAGCGCGTCCCTTCTGTGAAATTCAGAGGACTGAACAATGTGACTTGCGTACTTTTTTGTGTATGTTTGCCCTTCAAAAATTTTACTTCAGGGGCGCCTGGGTGGCGCAGTCGGTTAAGCGTCCGACTTCAGCCAGGTCACGATCTCGCGGTCCGGGAGTTCGAGCCCCGCATCAGGCTCTGGGCTGATGGCTCAGAGCCTGGAGCCTGTTTCCGATTCTGTGTCTCCCTCTCTCTCTGCCCCTCCCCCATTCATGCTCTGTCTCTCTCTGTCCCAAAAATAAATAAACGTTGAAAAAAAAAATTAAAAAAAAAAAAATTTTACTTCAAAGTGTACTGAAAATCTACTCCAGAAACTACAAACATAATTTTAAGAGACCTGAAACGTTAGGAGGGAAGGCTGGGAATACTTCAGTCTGAATGTATCCCACCCCTCCTCCAATTTTAATGTCAACACATCCCCTTCTCCTAAGTTGGGCAGCAGCCAGAGCCACCAATCCATCAGGTGTGGCTTCAGGCTCCGTAGAAAATCCCCATAGAGAAAGTTGAGGCAAGCCTGTCCCTTCTCCGTGTGAGAGTTTTTTCAGAGAGTCCCAGGGCAAGGATTAAGCATGGCGTTTTCCAGCATGGCTTGACTTCCCAGTAACTGTAATAATTTGCTCTGAAAATCTCTTTCCAGTTCATAGGAGGGATAGCGAATTACAGAAAGCACAGAGGTCACAATAAACTTATTGGAGCAAAAGCACTCCTCACACCATCAGATCTGTAATTCTTTTTAATTTCTGTTTTGTTATTGAAGCATTTGCTTCACATCACTAATCACCAAGGAAATGCAAATCAGATCAGTAATTAAAGGCAAGAACTACCTCATTCGTTTTTCTATGCTCAGGACTGTGTTTGGTGCTCAGAGTCCGCTCAAAGTGATGAGCAGCCGAATGTAGCGCAAGTAAGAAATTTACACGCTCCCTCAGTAAAAGGCAATCCCTGCATCTCGACTGGTTAATCAGGAGCAGATTTTGAAACTGGTAACGGGAAAGTTGACCTCAACTGACACTAGTCAATTCAGTTAATCTGTCAGATAGGTACATCTCAGGGAGAAGCGCTGAAGACTTACCTTTCAGCACTCATATTCAGACACCTGTGGGAGTTCTATGAGTGTTGGAACTATACTGTTGATCAGAGTGGGTTGACTGACACAGGTTGGCACGCAGATTGTAAAAAGAAGGAAACGACACAGGGTGTGTGCTGAGAGCAAAAGGGATAGTGGTATAGAGAATTTAATAACCTGTGGGAAGAGGTTGGGAAATGAAATGGGGTTGGGAAGAGAGATGGGCAAGGAAAAATCAGAAGGGGTTGGCATATGAAAGAATAGGAAATATTAGTAAGTGGGCATAGTATTTTTTTTTTGAACCCTCTCCTAAACTCTCTTCGGAGTTGTTCTCTCACCTGAGACAATTGAGTTCCCCCACAGAGAGCACCTAATAAGAGAATAGCAGGGATGGTACAAATGGGCAAACTGGGCTAAAGGGGGCAAAACTACAGTCATTCTTCCTCCCTACTTTGCTTTGGTCTTCCTAGATTCCAAGATGGCTGAGACTACTAAACTTTGGGGTGTGGCGCCTGTCATACTGAAGATGAGCAAAGACCCCACAAACTTCTACATAGGGCGGGCACTCTGGTTCAGCATTACTTTTCTTTACGTTTCAGTTGTGTATGTAGTGCAAATCACCTGGCTTCGTCTGTTCCGAGACTTCCAGTGCCACGGAAACATCTCCAAAGTCTGTCTAGCAGCATGCTACGAGAGTCACTTCACTAGGCCTGTGTTAGGAGTTTGGTATACGGTTGGCTTTGCCTTTTCCACCATCTTTTTTGTGATGGAGTTTTTGGTCTGTCAGAGTGTGCGTAAACTGACCGAGATATTTAGGAAGGAATCTTTAGGAAAGAAGCCTGGCGACACTCACGGCAACACGGAGTGCGTGAAGGCAAATGAAGATGGAATTTTTGACTTATCCCGGGAAAAGCCCCTGTTGGCAATGTATCTTGTCTACTTTCTGATACAGTTGTCTATACAGGTGATCTTCTTGGCCATTCTTATTCACTATCACCTACCACTGATTAAAACCCCCATTTGGTGCAGTACCCCCATGTGTCACGGGCCCTATGAATGTGTGCTATTGGGGACACAGGAAAAGATGATGTCCATTATAATTCTGGCTACATACTCTGTGGTCATCATGATGTTTTGTATCATGTTCTTCCTGTACACCATTAACACATACCTAGCCATGGGACGTAAGTTTCTCTGAGGAACACAGAGGCTCTATGACATCCTCAGAGTAGCCCTGATGGTTATCACTGACTACAAAACGTGGAATGATTGCAAAGGAGGCCTGTAGCAGTCTCATCCTGGAAGAATACAGACTTCATCCTTCTTTCACAGTCCCCAGGACCTGCTGGTCTTAGGAAAATAAAACTTGGATACGACAAGCCTGCTTTCTTCTCTTTGGGGTAATCAATTTTTCCTAAAGAAAAAATTAGAATCATTTTCAGAGGATTATAAAGAGAGGACTGAGAGAGCATTCCACCCTACCAGTTTTGATATGCGATCACAGCGACATTTTAAGGGCTATTCTTTTCCGTTTTGTTGGTTAGTAACTTCAGATTGAGATTAAGGGGATTTACATGATGAGAATTTTAGAGGGAGGGACACAGGGGAAAACTACAGGTAATCCAACGTCATAGCTTCTTTAGTATATTTAGACTCGTATCTACGACGTACAGCGTTCTTCCATCAGTATCTTCTGGGATTTCCTACTTGAGTAAGACTTCAGTGCAGACGTTTCAAGGAAGGTTAATACGAAATATGTTGCGAAAGTAGAAAACGTGAATGAATAAGAAAAAAAAGGAAACAGTATGCCCTCAGAGCTTCCAAGTAGATGATTTAGCTTCAGATGCGTATTAAGGAAAGGGAGAGAAAGAAAACAAGCAGCACATGTATTTCTGCACTTGAACGACATCTATTTCCCTTTGGCACTTTATTTAGTCATTACCAACTACTAGCTTAGTTTCAGCAAGCTGAACCAATTTATGTAGAGGTGATTACATTTGAGAAGCGAATTCTTCATAGAACAATTGAAGATTCTCCGTTGGTAGATTTCAGTTATAAATGCAGGCACTGCTGCTGTTAGGGGGGGTATGGATACATTTGGGGGCTGGGGAAATATCCTACGGATCTTTAGTGAGCAAGGAAAGTTGTTCCTTATGAACCCAGGTGCTCACCACAAAACAAACAGCAACTTAGAAGATGAGATTAGATGCTATTGTGTGGATAGATGTATTTCTAGAGTCAGGCATGGGCATGCAGTACTAGAATGGAAGCCTGAGAGTCCCTGTTAATGGATCTCAGTTTGAACTCCATCCAGAGTCAAGTGAACTTGCAGGATGAACGTCTGGTGATTGGTGTGCCCCTCCCCTCGAGCTCCTCTTGTTATGCTACCTGTAGATTACGCTTTAGGTGATCCCAGATGTCTATAATTTCTGACACAGGAAGACAAGGCACAAGCCATATGATCTCCACGGCCCATTTCAGACATATCTATATCATCTTCTCAATAGAAATTAAATACCTATCATGCCATTCATTTGACATGTGTAGGTAATATCTGTCCAATTTTCTCCATCATCACTCTCACTCTTTACTATTACATGATTATATCCCACTTGGATCTCAATAATAGCTGTCTTATGTTGACCACCTCCCAATACTGTTGCCATTTCTATGCTTTGGTTCCTCATTGTCCTAAGAAAAACCTTAAACTCTTTTTTTTTTTTTTAATGTTTATTTATTTTTCGAGAGAGAGGGAGAGAGAGAGGGAGGGAGCACGAGAAGAGAAGGACAGAGAGAGAGGGGGACAGAGAATCCAAAGCCGGCTCTGCGCTGACAGCAGAGAGCCAAATGTGAGACTTGAACTCAAGAACCTGAGATCGTGACCTGAGCCAACACCAAAGTCGGACGCTTAACTGACTGAGCCACCCAGGCGGCCCAAAAGTTTAAATTCACAAATTTTTTTTTTTTTTTTACAAAACTCTACTTTGTTAGCTTCCTATTTAGCAATCCAGTCTCGTTTTTGACCATGACCTCCCAACACACCCACACTTCACGCTCCATCCAAGCGTTAGAGTGCCTTATAATGCAATGCTCTTTTTGACCTCTCAGACTTCACTCAAGCTCTGCTTTCCAACTGTGACCATTTTCACAACAACCCTGATTCCCATTCCCTGAATCTACCTAACTTCTGCTAGTTCAGCGTAGATGTCACCCCCTGCAGGAGGACTTCCTGGCTCTTCCAAGTCTGAGTGAAGAGAACTCATTCTGTGATTCTGTGCTCTTACCTAATCCTGACACTTGTAGCCATGAGTGGCTTTTTGCCTTTATCACCAAGATACAACCTTTTCGTGACAGACAATATGTCTGATTTGCTTCCTAACTTACACGTAAGGTTAAAACACATTGTATACATTGAATAACTATTTGCAGATAAAATTCTTAAATGAAACAGGGGCACCTGGGGGCTCAGTCGGTTAAGCACCAGACTCTTGATTTCGGCTCAGGTCACGATCTCACAGTTCATGAGTTCGAGCCCCATGTCAGGCTCTGTGTTGATGGTGTGGAGTTTGGGGTTCTCTCTCTCCCTCTCTCTCTCTCTCTGCCCCTCCCCTACTCAATTGCTTTGTCTCTCTCTCCCTCTCTCTCAAAATAAATAAAATCAACGTTAAAAAATTATTAAATGAAATATTACTGTGGCCCATACGATTAACGTACTGTTAGAAATACCAGTATATCATATAAAGAAATCTTAGAAGGGCTTATATATCCAACTGTCCAAATCTTTTTCCCATTTTTATTGGATTGATTGTGTGATTATTACTGAGATTTGAGAATTCTGTATATATTCTGGATACAAGTTCTTTGTCAAATTACATAATTTGCAAATATTTTCTCTCAATCTGTGGCTGGTCTTTGCATTCTTTCAATGGTGTGTTTCACAGAGCAAAAACTTTCAGTTTTGATAAAGTGAAGTTCATGAAATTTTTCTTTTAGGATTTATTGTATCTAAGAATCCTTTGCGTAACTCAAAGTCGCGATGGTTTCTATGATTGTTTCCAAAAAGTTTTCTTGTTCCACAATTTACAGGTAGATCAATAATTGGATTTGAGTTACTCTCTACAGAAGGCATGGGAAGAGGTTTCTTTTTAAACATAGATTCCATTTTTTTACACTATTTGCTGAAGAGGGTATCTTTTCTTTATCGAAGGGTTATTGTGTCTCTGTGAAGAATAACTGACCATATTTGTGAGGTGTATTTCTGCACTCTCTACTCTGTTCCATAGTCTCTCTGTTGGGTTTTTCACCATTCCTATACATTCTTCATTACCGTAGACTTAAAATTAGCCTCAAAATCAGGTTCTGTGCATCATCCAAATTTGTTCTTATTTTTCAACAGTTTTTTGGCTAGTCTAATTACTCTGCCTTCCCATATGAATTTTAGAATGCACTTGTTGCTGTCTTAGATTTTGAGCCTATTTCGAATCTACTGAATAATTTGTGCCAAATTGACATCTTGACCACATTCACTCTTCCAATTTATGAACACAATTTCTCTCTCCACTTATTTAGGTCTTCTTTTTTTTTCAATCTCTTTTTGATTCATGTTTTGTAGTTTTTAACATGAAGATCTTGAACATATTTTGTTATATTTTTACCTACATACTTTATTTTTCCTGGTGCTGTTATAAATGGTACTTTAAAATTATTTTATTTCTGGGGCGCCTGGGTGGCGCAGCCGGTTAAGCGTCCGACTTCAGCCAGGTCACGATCTCGCGCTCCGTGAGTTCGAGCCCCGCGTCAGGCTCTGGGCTGATGGCTCGGAGCCTGGAGCCTGTTTCCGATTCTGTGTCTCCCTCTCTCTCTGCCCCTCCCCTGTTCATGCTCTGTCTCTCTCTGTCCCAAAAATAAATAAACGTTGAAAAAAAAATTTTTTTTAATTATTTTATTTCCAACTCTTTTATTGTATATGTATGTATGCAGGATTTTGTATGTCAACATTATATTCTGCGACTTTGCTAAATGCATGTATAAGTTCTAGAAACTTTTTTTTTAATTCCTTATTGTTTTCTGTGCAGACAATAAAGTTGTCTGCAAATAGAGAAAATTTTAGGTTTTCCTTTCTAATATATATGCTTCATATTTCTTACTCTTGCTTTATTGCACTGGGTAGGTATTCCACTCTAATGTTGGGTAGGAGTGGTGACAGCAGACCTCATTGTTTTCTTTCCAATTTAAAAAGTAGTTAGGGGCAGGCACCTGGGTGGCTCAGTCGGTTAAGCATCTGATTTCGGCTCAAGTCACGATCTCATGGCTCATGAGTTCAAGTCCTGCGTTGGGCTCTGTGCTGACAGCTCAGAGCCTGAGTCTGCTGGGAATTTTGTGTCTCTGTCTCTGCCCCTCCCTGGTGCTCTCTCTCTCTCTCTCAAAAATAAATAAACATTAAAAAAATTTAAAAATAGTTATTAATTCTTTCACCTTTAAGTATAGGGTTGCTGTAGATGTATTTGTAGATGACCTTTCCTTAGGTTAAGAAAGTCCCTTTCTATTCTTATTTTCTGAAGACTTTTATTATTTATGTATGTTAAAATTTGTCAAATGCATTCTTTGCATTTCTGATTGCATTTAGGGCTCACCCAAATAATCAGGATAGTCTCCACATCTCAAAATCTTTAACTTAATCCCATCTGAAGGGGCGCCCGGGTGGTTCAGTCAGTTAAGCCTCCGACTCTTGGTGTCAGCTGAGGTCATGATCTCACGGTTCATGAGTTTGAGCCCCGTGTTGGGCTCTGTAGTGACAGTGTAGAGCCTGCTTGGGATTCTCTCTCTCTCTTTCTCTCTGCCCCTCCCCTTCTCACACTTTTTTTCTCAAAAATAAATAGATAGACTTAAAAAAAAAAAATCCCATCTGCAAAGACCTTTTTTGCCATGTGAGGTAACCTTCAGAGGGTCCAGAGAACAGGATGTGTATATGTTTTGGGAGCAATCATTCAGCCTACTACAGACAGTGAAAAGGAACACTGAGAATAATTACATAGCAGCAACAGGTGCAAACAGGGACTGTTGCAGGCAAACTGGAGTATACCGTCCCATATTTGGAGGCAAGTTGGGGAGCCTCAGGTTTCTGAAATGTTCTTCCATAAGCAACCGTGAAACAGGAAGCATGGATAAGGGTCACTGTCCATTAAAGAGAGCAAGTTGCAGAGGAAATAATTATCCTTGAGATAGAGGCAGGAAGCTGCTGGTCCACACAACACCTGTGTGTATCCTGCGGGATGCAGCCCAGCACCAGGATATAGGGATGTGGTGACTGTGCAAAAATCAGCCTTCACAACCACACGCAACAGTCCTAGATAGACACTGATTTTCTAAGAAGATGGGG